TGGTCACCAAAAACTAATCAAGGTATTATGTCTCTCCAAGCCAATTGTTTGTTTCGTACAAAAGACGACATTCGCATTACCAGAGAAAAGTGATCATAGGGTAACGTCTGTGTCAGAAAATGAAACGGTAAGAAGTAACTTTTGTGAACAAATTTAGTTACTAACGGTCTTCATCAAGCTCGAGTAAACCGTGCACTTAAATGTACAGCAGAGAGGATGCTAGGTTTGCTAGTTGTAGCTAAATTGGTTGCGATGTGGTCACAGCCGACCACCCTCATAAAATCCCGGGAGATGTATCATCTCATCAGTACAGCGTACATGAGATTGTAGCTCTCATGAAATTTGGCTATAACTATAAGCTCACTTATTAATAAGGGAAAAATGTGTCCAGGCCCCAAAAACATAAACTTCATGTGCTGCAGCCCCTTCTAGTTTCCCCCATGTGGTTCAGCCCCTTGAAGTGTGACGTTTTGTGCTGCAGCCCCTTTTTAACAATTATTACATGCCCGAGTTCGTCGCCGCCTCCCCTCCTCTCCTCCGCCCGACCTCGTCGCGGTAGCTCGCCGTCGCTCCCCATCTCGCCCTCGACTACGCCGGAGTTCGTCGCTGTGCCTGCCACTTTTGAACCCATAGTATGGTAGGCCGGAGGAGGATGACCAAGAGAAAAGAGTGCATGATGCTCAAGAAAAGTAAAAATGAAGGGGACAGAATAGAACTAACATTGTGCAGATTAGAACTAACACTGTAGACAGAATAGAACTAACATTGTAGACAGAATAGAACTAACATTGTGCAGATTAGAACTAACACTGTAGACAGAATAGAACTAACATTGTAGACAGAATAGAACTAACATTGTGCAGATTAGAACTAACACTGTAGACAGAATAGAACTAACATTGTAGACAGAATAGAACTAACATTGTAGACAGAATAGAACTAACATTGTAGATAGAATAGAACTGTAGACAGAATAGAACTAACATTATAGACAGAATAGAACTAACATTGTAGACAGAATAGAACTGTAGACAGAACAGAACTAACATTATAGACAGAATAGCATATTCTTGTACTTTAACTTGGAACTAGATGCAACTTATGACTCTGTCTAGTTTCTGGTATTGGTTTATGATTCAACAAATGAGCATGCTCATATTCTTTACAGAAATTTACACCCTGTCATTAGATTGAAATAGAGCATTCTGGCTGTTTCGTCATTGGTTGACAATAACAGTATCAGTTTCTTAATGTGTTCCTCTGCCTGTTTAAGCTCTCGAGCTGGACTTCTGGATTACTATAGACATGTAGTTCGTTTGCATACAAGTTTTAGTGGTTTGAAATTGACTACGTGGTTACAGTTTTCTATTTTGGAAATGGGAACGTATCGTAAATCATGCAGCATTTTGCTCCTTGGCAACATTTTGGCTGACTACTATTCTCAATTCTGTAAACATGAACCATGCTTTGAAAATGGGCAAAAGCAGCAGGAAGACTCTACACAATTGTCACGAGTGTGAAGAATCAGCGAGACATGCCGGAATTCCTCAATCTTTACTTCGAATCCCTTCAACCAAGTTTGTGCCGCTTATTGAGTTTGTAATTTCTGGTGTTACCAACCACAATTATTTCTGTCCAGAATTGTCCAAAATACAATCACTCTATAAGAAAGTTGTTGGGTCAATTACAAACTTGGTTGAAGGGATTCGAAGTAAAGATTGAGGCATTCCGGCATGTCTCGCAGATTCTTCACACTCGTGACAATTGTGTAGAGTCTTCCTGCTGCTTTTGCCCATTTTCAAAGCATGGTTCCTGTTTACAGAATTGAGAATAGTAGTCAGCCAAAATGTTGCCAAGGAGCAAAATGCTGCATGATTTACGATACGTTCCCATTTCCAAAATAGAAAACTGTAACCACGTAGTCAATTTCAAACCACTAAAACTTGTATGCAAACGAACTACATGTCTATAGTAATCCAGAAGTCCAGCTCGAGAGCTTAAACAGGCAGAGGAACACATTAAGAAACTGATACTGTTATTGTCAACCAATGACGAAACAGCCAGAATGCTCTATTTCAATCTAATGACAGGGTGTAAATTTCTGTAAAGAATATGAGCATGCTCATTTGTTGAATCATAAACCAATACCAGAAACTAGACAGAGTCATAAGTTGCATCTAGTTCCAAGTTAAAGTACAAGAATATGCTATTCTGTCTATAATGTTAGTTCTGTTCTGTCTACAGTTCTATTCTGTCTACAATGTTAGTTCTATTCTGTCTATAATGTTAGTTCTATTCTGTCTACAGTTCTATTCTATCTACAATGTTAGTTCTATTCTGTCTACAATGTTAGTTCTATTCTGTCTACAATGTTAGTTCTATTCTGTCTACAATGTTAGTTCTATTCTGTCTACAATGTTAGTTCTATTCTGTCTACAGTGTTAGTTCTAATCTGCACAATGTTAGTTCTATTCTGTCCCCTTCATTTTTACTTTTCTTGAGCATCATGCAACTCCAGCGTAGTCGAGGGCGAGACGGAGAGCGACGGCGAGCTACCGCGACGAGGTCGGGCGGAGGAGAGGAGGGGAGGCGGCGACGAACTCGGGGGAGGCTTGGGAGCCTGGGCGGAGGTGGCGACGGCGAGGAGGGCGAGGGCCAGAGCGACGAGCTTGATAAAACCCTTGTTTTTAAAGAGAGAGAGGGGAGAGAGAGGGGGGAGAGAGAGAGAGAGAGAGAGAGAGAGAGAGAGAGAGAACTGGGTTTGAAGGATTGAGAAGAGGGGGTAAGGTTATTTTGGGGATTTTAGCTTAGTTGGCATGTAATAATTGTTAAAAAGGGGCTGCAGCACAAAACGTCACACTTCAAGGGGCTGAACCACATGGGGGAAACTAGAAGGGGCTGCAGCACATGAAGTTTATGTTTTTGGGGCCTGGACACATTTTTCCCTATTAATAATTAAACAAAAAGCTTTAAAAATTAAAAGAAAATTTTGTTTTTTGCTCTTTTTACAAATTACAATACAATATAAAAACTGAGTACGGAAGCTGGCTTCCGCGCAAGTTCTAGTGAACAAGATAAAAGGCTACTCCTACCTTAACTAAGGTTACTTTTAATCCAAGTAGAGGATAGTTAAATTCTAATCCGGAAAGGCCCTAAATTTGAACGAAGAAAACTAAGTTTAGAGTTAGTCCAATTTTATCCAAACAATAATTAAACCTGTTAACTAGGTTAGCTTCTAAATTGGATAGTAGGGTAGGGTTGCTAAATACACCTGACTTCATATCTAGCCAAGGTTTGAAGAAAATGGATTAAGAAGGACTACACTTAATTAATCCGTTTAAAAGTAAATGAAGGCTAAATTTGCTCGCTTGGTTAGATTTGTTTTAATCATGTACACACCTCTTTTGAGAAAGGATTAATACTATCTTCAAGGTCTCTCTTAGCAGGATTAACTCATTTTAACCCAATAAAAGAATTATCTCATAACTCTTTTGTGATTTTTCGCCTCTCGCAAGTGAAGGACTTAATTCTTCTTGATCTCTCACTTAATGTGTTTCCGAACAATGCTTAATTTCTTTTGTCAATCAACAACGGTTAATTTTCTAGACAGCGAATTATCTTCAAGTTTGTCAATCTTAGTTGAAGAACCAATATCAAAGGACTATAAGACTGTTGACAAATTGGGCTGAGCATGGTTCGGTCCAAACCGAAAAAACCGACCGAACCGACCCGAACCGACCCGAAAAAATCGGTTTTATGAGTAGGGCGGTTCGGGTCGGTTTGAAAACTTTTCAACCCGAACCGACCGAATATAGTGCAATACTACACATTCTGATCTCAAACTTACCCGACCCGTCTCCAAAGAGTCAAAGACTCAAACCCTAAACTTATTTTTTGAATCATTATGAGTTAAAAACAATATCATTATATCAGTGTTTAATGCTTCATAATCTCCTACTTTGTTGATATCTTTTTTTTAACACAGTTTGTTGTTTGATAAGAAGTTTGATGAAGTTAGAACCGAACAAACCGAACCGAACCGCACCGAACCGACTTGCAATAGTTCGGTTCGGTTTTGAATTATAGACAGTTCGGTTCGGTTGTTCAAATTTTGGTAAAAACCGAACCGAACCGACCGTTGCACACCCCTATTGACAAATATGAAACGGGAAAATCAAATTACTTGATATCTAGAGGAGATGGAAGGGGAATTCTACCAAAAGGATAGCAACACGAACGGTTGCAATTTACAGCTCTATCGACATGTATTGAAGAGGGAACCTTCAAACTACGCGGATGAGTGGGCCATCTTCACCATTATTTTAGCGGAATGATAGCCTCAAGTTTGCTTCCGGCTTGTGTCGGTCGCACCACCTGTTGGATGTCCTGAAAGGCTCCCTAAAGGACCAAAATCCACTGGGCAAGCGGTCCTATCCTAAAGGATGAGAACCTTAGATCCGAACAGAACTGAGAGGCTGAGAAAATGTATGAATCCAAAGTTTTCTAAAGAACACTCCTTCCCTCTATCGCAACCATATAAATGTACCAGTAACCAGCGACCTCAAAGGCTAGCCCACTTCCGAGCCTGCTCGATGAGGTGGATTTCATCAAAGCTTGGCTTCAAAAGGAAAGTGACTCCTGCACCAGGTGACTCTAATTGCCCACAGTATGCTTGATTGAAGAGAAACATCTACAGTTAGGAACAATACGAGGGCCATCACTAACAGAGGAGATTATAATCGACAAGCCATACAGATACCATTGAGGGAGAAGAAACTGGATGCAATGCTCCAAGTCTTGGTGCTTCAAACAAATAATGCAATAATTGAAATGGAAGGTTAAGAGCAAATTTCTTTCCTATGAAGATAGATGACTCTCTAGCGGTCAATCAAATGGCAAACATCCTGTTTAGCTCCTCAGCTTGTCATCAACCAGAAAAAAGCTCGTAATGCGAAGAAATTTTATAGTCTATCATCAGATCTACCACAGAAGCCAGAAGCAACAAAACACCAGTAATTTAACCGACGAATGCAATTGACAAACTATATACAGCATGTCCCAGAATTGTGACGGAACTTTACATAACCAATTTCGACAGCAGTCCCACAGCAGAATAGTATCAATACCTAATATTTCATGGCAGCTCCCATGTCATAGATCACACTAAAAATCTTAGACAAATAACTCCATAAAAACTTCAGAAAACTTGAAATGACCAAGATAGATAAAATTAAAAACGATAGTCATTTGTTCTAAATCATGTCACGACAACAGCTTAATATGACATCCATTTACAATGTCGTTTAGAGCGGCGCAAGTGAAAAGATCAAAATGGGAGAACTGGATATGAATAAGTGTACAAAAACTGGAGTATAAAATGATAACCCTGACGTTTTGAAATTTGAAGACAACTTACTAAAGCGAGGAGGAAAAATTAATAAACATGTTGAGAAGTTTTAAAACGATTTAACTCTCTTAGGGAGGAAACGTCAGATGATACACGCTTCTCTCCGGAAGCATACGCAACTGTGCATGTGCACAAGCAATAATGTGAATTTTCTCATGTTGACTTCATTTTGATTCAATCCAGTTGGCAAAAAAAAGAGAAAGAAAGAAAGAAAAGAAGAAGCTGAAGCCAATGAGTAACAAATGAATCAAATAACATGTGTCGAAACAATCTCCAGTTCAAACAAAACCATGATTGACCAAGACATCCCAAAACAAGACATGAATATGTTACAAATATAAAAGAAATCCAAAAAAGTGGTATACTTTAAATTATTTGAAAATAATTTTGCAGACGTGTATATATAAGAATAAAATAAAATGATTTAGGAAATAAATGGTACGTAGACGTAGTGAGGAAAACTTGTGACTAATTTGTGAGATTTGTGAAATATCCCAAGGCAGAATGATAATTACTTTTTTATGTCACCACGATCGATAGTACTAATGAATAATGGCTTTAGCATGAAGTCAGAAAGGCCACTTAATTCCCTCAAGTCCAACCCTAACTTTCCTTCCCAAACCCATATAGAAGCATTCAATTCTAGCAGTGCAGCCGAAGATAGGCCAGCAGAACCCACTCCTGAAGGTCTCTGATGCATAAGAAATCTGATGTGCATAATTCTTTAGGAAAAGTATCCAGGTTAGCTATCTGACCTTTAATATGCAGCTCTTCGAGCCTTTTAGATATAAAAACTAAAGCGTCTGACTTATCATCACACCAGGAGATGAGTATCATGCAGAGAGAAGAAGCATCTAGATCAAGAAGCAAGGAAGAAACTCGGGATTCGTTTGGAGATAGCAGAGTAGGCGAACAAAACCACGTGAGCTAGAAGCAGAAAAGCAGTTGGAGTACCGAAAGTGTGGCGAGCCGATAAAGCTAGACCACGCCTCCTCAACACAAAAAAAGGTAATATCTTTTAGTGACATTTTGCAAGCCCTTGTAATATTATCCAAAATAGATAAAATAAACTACAACTACAAATGGGCATGATAAGTAAGTATATCAAATGAAATGCTAATAGAGTTGATAGAAACTTAACCAATAAGCCTTCATATGGATCATACACTAGTATTAAAACAGTTACTCAGCTCCTGCTACGGCGCCTATCCCTGTTAGAAGAAAATAGCCACAATTCTTAAAACTATTCTGTATAATTAACTTTAACAGGAGACAAAGAAATAAACAATTGAGATTAAATAATTTGCTAACTGATTAAAGTTTATCATACCCATTGGCATATGGTGATATGTCACGGCCACCACGTTGGTATGGTGGAGACCTGCTATAGCTGCGTCCACGTGGGGGGGTCAAACTGCGACGCCGCGGAGAACGATCATGAGGACTGTAGCTCCTGCTCAAAGCCGGTAAAAAGTAGTTACGCTAAGCAGAAGTTATATTTCATGATCAAGAATAACAAGGCATTGACAAGAGGTTCATGAAATGTATGGATGAACAAATTTGCTCTGAATGAGCTTACATAGTACAAGAATTTAAATGAAACTATCATGGCATAAGACAAGCATCAGACAAGTAGTTTAGAAAAACTAAGATTCTTATAAAAAGTTATTAGATACCCATTCACGCATGACACCAAATATATGAAGATAAAACAGTGATTGTGTAATATTATCCAGACTCAACATAATAATAGAAATAAATAGGAGAAATTTTCAAAAAATACCCGTTTATAGCTTTATTCACCAAAATCAACAAATTTCAAAAATATTCACAAGAATTGACCTAGTTTTAACTAGGTCAAAAGATTTCTTTCTAATTAGTCGGGTTGCCAACCCCGACTAATTAGTAACTAGGTTAATTAACCTTCTAAATAGTCGGGATTGGCAACTGTAACTATTTTGAACTGCAGTTTAGCCCCCACTACTAACATGTGTAATTAAACTAGCATTTAAGGGTTGGCATCCCTGACTAATTAAAAAGAAATGTTTTTTTTAAAATCGACCCAGTTTCAGCCAGAACTGCTGATGTGGCCGAAACGGGGTCGATTTTTGTAAATAAATTTGAAATGAGCCGATTTTGGGGAATAAAATTGTAAATGGGCTTACTTTAAAAATTTCTCCAAATAAATATTTGACTATAACCGTTTCAATGGCAGTACAAGTTGAAATAAATTTACATAAAATTAAAAGTTAAAATTTTTTCAAAGAGCTATATCAGAAAATCTCTTAGGATCGTAGAGGGTGAATAAAGAGGTGGAAGTAGGAGAACAGGTACAAAGCAGTCAAATGCAAAAGCTACCAAAGTAGAGGAAGAGAGGAGAAAGCAGCAACAAAAATAGAACGAGTGGAGATGAGAGAAACTGTTGCCAGCAAGAGCATCAGCTTTGGTCTTTGGCAATTGGCAGCAGTGTTGTCAGAGCCTTTTCAGCAGCAGCCAGGTCTCCAAAGAAAGAATAAATAAGGGCACTGCAGCAGAGGACGAGGAAAGAGAGTATTAAAGGTTTAATCAGGTTGTATCCGTCTAATATAACCAGGTTAACTTCTCTGATTAACTTCCAAATGGGCAGTGTAGTCACATTCTCAACAAAATTTGGACTCCTAAATTTGCCCCAATGTAGCAGAGTGGAATTGGCATTATTCATCAGTTGCCTTTTGCCTATGACTTTCCATAATATTTGCCGGAACTTACTCAAACAATGAGACTTCAGGAACCTTTGCTGCATAGATTCTGTTGAAAGAATTTCACGATACCAACCCATATAGCTAATAAGCCTAAGGTTTCTGGTTGCAAATTCCAAATTACCAGAGAAAATCCAAAGGTTTGCTTATTTTGATGCTAGAACCACTAACAAACTATATGGTATATAAATATGGACACCAAGCATAATTATTGAAAAATGCTTATGTACATCATCTCCCGATAACAATGAATGGATGAGAAAATTACATTACATATGAAGGTTTTTAGAGGAAATCATGACTTGTTATATGGTATAATTACCTTCGACCATAGCTAGGACTCCTGCGGTATCTAGGACTTGGACTGCGACGCCTTCCGCTGCCTAATCCACCAGGACCAATGCGCAAACGACATTCCCGAGCAAAGTGACCTGGCTCACCACACTCATAGCATTTGAGGTCAGAACCACCCCCATAACGGTCCCGACCACTCCTACCTCCACGACCACCACCATCACTGCCTCTCGAGTTATGAGAAAGCTCCACTCTCCATCCATGCTTACCTATGAAAGGAAAAATGGACTATCAATTTAAGGCACAGACATATTTAACTAAAGTATCCCCTTGATACTACATTCTAATTATAAATTGACAAATATGCAGTACTGAAGCAGATAAAAAAGAGTTGACAAAAGTATCTCATCATCACACTAAAATTCAAGGTGGAGAGATTCATTTTTCGTTTTAAAAAATATAAATTGAAGAAAGGAGTAAAGATTCCAGAAATATCAGAAGGAAATTTGTCTGGCTTCCACACTTAATCCTTAACAATTTTTCTGATGCAATTTCTAAAATCCAGTTTCTTCACTAGGGGGTAAAATGCTGGAGGTGTGCAGAATATTTCAATTCGAGCAAATCAGTGACATGTCATTAGGTATGCATAATCAAGCCCTCAAGCCAGGTGACTGTATAGAACAGAACCATATTGAACCTGTTTTAGAAATACAGTCATTAAAATAAATATTTATTAGATGATTTTTGACTGATAGATAAGTAACAACAAGCCTTCTTCCACAAACAATCAATGACCCTTAGACCTCATTGACTGTGTCAACAGTTCTTCTTAACTAACATTATCAGCAGAAATATTAAGTTTAATTAACATGGTCCTCAATTTACTAACATTGCCACACTAACTCTTGACTCTCCATGATCTCAGCGGATCAAAAAAATATTCTTTAGCCCACCTCCGCATATAGGAATCATATTTTTAAGTTGAGACAAATATCTTTTACCAAAATATAATCCACATATTTTTCATGCACGAGTCTCATCTTAGATAGGAACCTTAAGTAAAGCAAGTATAGTTTCCTTTTGGGAACCTTCAAGAAATCACAACTCTGTGAAATGTATTTCTAGAGATGAGAGCATAAAAGGGCTATCATGTTGTAACCAATATTTGTATAAGATGGTGGGCACTATGAGAGAGCCCAGGTGTTGCTAACATCTTAGATACATAACTAGGCACTATGAGAGAGCCCAGGTGTTGCTAGCATTTAGATACATAACTAGGCATCCGCATACTCTTAAATGGCCCCACCAAGGATAGTTCTTTTGAGAGAAATGCCAAGATACACATTTGCATAAATATTGTTAAGGATAATATATTCACATGAAAACCCCTACAAGGATTCTGATTGCAAAGTAGAGAAAAAGAGATGTGTCCAAACACAATAAAAACTAGAACTTCACACAAATACATAAAAAGATAACAGGTATGATAATTCCAAATATAATAAAAAGCATTTGAGATTTCTTAATTTTGGCATATGATATCCTCACTTAAATTCTTAGTCAAAAGATAATAACTTGCATGCACACTTCACACAAGCTAAAATTTTCATCATCTATGAGCATATGGTTTACACGTCTTATACATATGTGCGTGACTGTGCGTATAGAATTCTATAATTGAGCAGAATAGTTTTCTAAACAGTCAAAAACAATAACTTTTATGGTTAAATATAAAACTTGTTGGGCATGCATTTTGCTTTTTCCTAGAAAGCTGTGTAACATCAAATTAATACAAACAACTAAACATGAATATGTATGGATATTATTCACATCATTAGTGGACGCATAATAAACATATCGATGACAATGAGACTAAAATAATCACACTTAATGCAGAGAAAAGGTTCATTGTTACATAAGTATCTTACTAGCATATGATGTTATAACTAATACAAAATAATGAATCATTTTTATGATAATTAATATGTTTCCAACTAAAACATTATCAAGATGCTCGCATACCATCCACATCACGGATTGCATCAAGAGCATCTCTGCGGTCGTCAAAGTCAATGAAAGCATAGCCTGGAGGCCTTCTGGCTACCCATACGCTGCCATTAATAATAAACAAATTATTAAACAAATATCTACAGGTTGCATTCTATCACACATGCAGTTCCATTAAAATTGAAAAGAAAATGAATAAAGGAGAAAAGGCAAAGGCAAATTAAACAAAAGACACCATATCCTTTGACAATGTAGCATAAATCATTTGCCAAGTCTTAAAGCCAGAAACAGAAGTTGGAAACCTTGTTGTTCTTATTTATCAATTGAAGGACCTAATACCTCGGTTACCCCGGCACAGAAAGTTGGGGGCCGTACCCGTGTCAAACCCGTTTTGGGTACGGCTACGTACCAAACACGGCGGACACGGGTGGGTTCTTCGGCCATCTGAGATTTGCGCAGGATGAAAGATGATGATGAACATTTCACTCTCCCTCTCTCTCCTCTCTCCATTTTTCTTTATTTTTTATTAACTTAGTGGAGTATGACATCATCCCTCTCGTGGGGTGGTTTGATGAGAATGAGTTCTGACTTTTGTCTTTTCTGGATAAGGATAACCCTTAGTCCTCAATGTTGGAGAAAATAAGAAAGTCAAGTGGCTCATTTTTAGTCATGGAGAATTTTTAGTTTGTAGAAAGTCATGTGGCTAAGTCAGTCTAGCTACAGTGCACATACTGAATTCTCAATATGATATGATCATTCAAGAAAGCACAAACCCAAAACAAAATAGATCCTCACTTTCATAAACTGATCATACCAACTGAAGGAGTCAAATATCTCATGTATGTATGTATGTATGCATAGTCTTGCTACAGTGCACATATTGAATTCTCAATATGATATGATCCTTCAAGAAAGCATAAACCCAAAACAAAATAGCTCCTCACTCACATAGACTGATCATACCAACTGAATAAGTCAATTTTCTCATGTGTGTGTGTGTATGTATGTATGTATGTATGTATGTATACATACATATATATATAATATATATATATATATATATATACACACACATATGTATGTATATATGTGTGTATATATATAAATACATATGTGTGCGTGTGTCCATGTGTGTGTGTATATATATACATACATCTACGGGTGTATGTATGTATGTGTGTGTGCGTGTCCCCACACCCTAACTTTTACAAATTTGTCGTGTCCCGTACCCGTAGCCACACCATCACCCAGATCTGTGCAACCTAGCCTACTACCAATTTTCTTAATTTGGCCATGTTGTTTGTGCCTCTGTATTCATTGCAATTGTTTTCTAACTGACTTCAAGGCTCTTATCAGCTTCTTGTACTGAGAAGATCAACTGCAGCGGAATTATTAAGGAATTAAGAAGCACTAGAGAAACCTAATCATTTGTTATTTGTAACTTAGGTGTTAAAAACAACAACTCCTATTCATATTTACTAGAGATGCATGTATTAACAGGTTACTTTAATTCCAGATATGCGGTAGCATCAAACATTACAGACACAAAGAGGTTCCTCCTAATCAGAACAGGAAAAACACTGGAATCTCCTATGAATGTTGTAAATGCAAATCTGAACCTCGGCTCCAGCTGTATACGAGTACAGATGTTGGAACTTTTTTACTTTTTATATTTATTAAGGTATTTCGAATAAAAAATAACAAAGCTAGAGATATTGTTGACTCCTTAAGGGTTCACATATAGAGACAATGAAACATTGGTAACAAGAGCTTTTATTAGTATTACCTATTTTTATGCAGATCAAAGGTAAAATATATTTGAAGGAAAATTTAAAAAAAAATCCAGAATCAAAAGGAAAGAACAGAGTTACAGAGGTCAGTAAAAAGTAGTCACTCAAATCTGCTTACTATTTACAGAATATTATCTTAGTTGCAAAACATGTTAAAAACAAATTGGATCTAACATGTAAATTTAGTTAGATGACAAACTACAGAGACGACGTTATATAACAACAGCCTGAGATATTCGCGTGCTTTCCAACAGTAACCTTGACAATAGAGCGTCTGCCTCTTTCCTATCCTTCTCTATATTTTCTAACTGGAACTATAGGAAATTACTAGTGACACGCTCTGACTTCATGTTACACATATAACCAGGTCAAGTAAGATTGGGCCACACTGAGGTCCTTCTGCATTCGTTATGAATAAAACTGAATCTGGTCAAAATCAAATCAGGCTGTCTGTATCTAATAACTTCCCAAACTCATATTCCATTCTTACTTTTGCTCTCTGTCAGTGTATGACGTAAGGAAGTCGTATGCAAGTGGTTCTCTATCGCTTTATGATATTTCAAGTCAAGTAAATAAATGGCTAACAAGTGGCATAACTCCAAGGGTCAGAAAATGATCAAGAATCTAAGCAGCAGTAATCAACGAAACAAATAGAAATTCCAGCTATACCTTTGCAAAACTCCAAATACTCGAAACTCATCTTCAAGTTCCCTCTCGGTCACTCGTGAATCCAAGTTACCGACGTAAACACGAGTCATGCTGTCAAATAAACCCAACTCCATAATAAGATGAGAGAACATACGTAAAGATTGAATAGTAACAACTTATTGTAGTAATCTACACCTCTATAAAAAACTTTAATAAACATAAGATTCACTAATAACAAATGAAAAAAATGATAAATTCAAGATGAGCCACACCAGCAAGAATATACAGACTGTATAAGGACGTAATGGATGGCCAAGAACTTCTATGAACTGCAACCAGAAATATGGGTAAACCAAAACTAATTAATCTAAAAGTATGTAAACTATCAAAAATAAAAGTTGATTCGCCTCTTTGATTTTCTTAGTAAGAGAACGTAGCTAGTCATAAAACCAAGAACAAAGAAAAATTATCCTTATTAAAATATAAAATCAAGAAATTTGAAGTCAAGATTGCTCATTTATCGCATGCCTTTCAAGGGAAAGAAGGAAAAGAATGAAGCATCATCGAATTAGAGAAGAACATAAAATAAATTCGTCAAGGATGAATTTTGTCTCTCGACCACAGAGATATGAAAGAAATCATGGAAGAGATTTACAATTAAAAAAAATCACAGATGTATCAATTCCATCGTCTAAATAACATCATAAAACCGAGGATTCTACACCTAGGGCTTTCAAGGAAATCCCAGTGATTTTTCCGCGGTTCTACTGATTCATCATAAGCCTGTACGAATTCGATGACCTAGGCTTTCAAGAATCAAGAGAGACTTTTCATTACCTGATCGATTGAGAATTTGATGGGAACCCTGGGATTCGATTGCGACTCGAGCGTCTGAGAGTAGGGTTTTTAGGAGCGGCGGTCGAGGATATAATTGGGGGAAAGGGTGAGGAGCACGTGACATCGACTCATTTGATTTGGTTCGATTAGCTGCGGCCGTACGTCTAAACATCGAGTGCCCATGAGTCAGGGGGGTTATTGGTTGGGATATTTTAGAGATAATGGGATAATTTTAGGGATTCTATTTCATAGTGTTATTTATTGAGACAATAGAATAAGGATAATATATTTTTGTGTTATTTGTTTTTTGGAACACTAGTGAGACAATTACACCACTTGAGATAAAATTACCTTACTCATATACAAAAATTTTGTCCCAATAATAAAAATTTACCTCATCCTCCATATTGGAACAATGTTGTTTCCCTTTGAAGATAATTGGGATAATTTTAAAATATTTTTATATTACTTAACTAATACATGCAATTATATTATAAATATATGACATGATGTATAAATAATTATAGTATAATTATAGTATAATATATTAATATTATAGTATAATTATAGTATAATTTTAAATAATTATAGTATAATTATAGTATAATATATGACTTTGAAGATAAAATTACCTTACTCATATACAAAAATTAATATTTTAATAACATAATTTAATAACATATATTAATAATATTATATAATAATAATTATAGTATAATATATTTATTATAAATATATAAATATTGTAATAATATATATTAATATATATTATGATATACAATATTTAATATTTTAACAACATATATATATTTAATAAATATATTTAATACTATGTTAGATATATATATTCATTAAGTAATATATTAGAATGGGATAGCCCATTAAGTAATTGACTCTCATCAAATGATTCATCGTGGAAATGGGTTAGAACAATATATTAACTAGTTACAAAAACCAGTATATAATTAATATTATCTATAACATTTATTAATATTTTAATCATACATATATACATATTTATAATACATAATTATTAGTATTGATGTAATATATTATATATATTAATTAGTAATTATAGGTAAACGTATTTATTATAATTAATTATATAATATTTTAATGAACATATTATTAATAATAATATATGTATATAATTAATTATAAATCTATTATATTCTATTATGATATATGACATACTATTATAATATATATAAAATGATACTGATATAACTTACTAAATAAATATAATTACTTAGTTTGAAATAATATAGATATATTAACTATAACATGATACTATTTAATATATATTTTGTAATTATTTTGTAATAGTATATATGTTTATATTATGTTAATTTTAACTTATAAATATTTTAACACAATATCATTGAATAAAGTAAAATATTTATAATATTTTTTGATAAAGTACATTATATCTATGATACTATATTATAGATATTAAATAAATAATATATTATATAAGTATTATATATTTATATATATATGTTCGTATATAAGAAAAATTATATATGGTATCGAATAATCAATATTATATATGTAGCATACTAATATAATGTTAATTAGTAATTATTGTATAACATAATTATATTTTGTGTATAATAAAATAATGTATTATATTAAATCATTGATTTATTAAAATATTATATTAAATATAATTCGATATTAAATATATATTAATTATTAGTATATAGTATATCTGCTATATAATATAATAATATAGCAATATATATAACTAATAGTATAGTTTATAAGTATAGGTACTAAAATTATATATTTTATATAAAGTAAAATAATATTTTATATTATAATCAATATACTAAATAAATATACTAACCAATTGGATAAGTTAATTTAGAAGTAATTAATAAGATTAAATTGATATTTTAATAAATGTCACATATCAATTATCCTCACTATGAAATTGTCATAATCCATAAGCAATCGAAATTATTCGATTATGCCCACTTTACCCACTCAAATTCCAAGGGTTAAATTTGTTCCATTGAATAAGTTTTGCTGCCACTTGCCCCAAATTTGTATCCCAAACAAATAACCCGCCAACGGGCGTCGTTGTTACGTGGTTTTGAAAGGGATTTAGAGCCCGAAAGTCCTGCCACATAGTGGTCAATTTGTGGCAAGCTTTCAGGCAAAATCTTCTTTTTAGAGGCGATTTTGCCTAAAAGCTGCCACAGATGGGACACTGTGGCAGGCTTTCGAGCTCAAAATCGCCCATCCAAACGCGCCCTAATGCATCTCCATCTTTTATTGCATAGTATTTTCTTGTATTTTGTGCTTATACACAAAATAAAAAGTGAAGATGCATTATGAGATATTAGGAGACACTATGCCTTAATAGAGGATCTCAATCTGACTCGGGACTAAGACGGACCTGGACTGCTTCCAAATAGCTCGCCTGTTCTTCAGAGGTTAAAAAGCTCATTAATATAATCACTTTTTTATTTTCTGTCTTCTTGCTTTTTTTTTTGTATGGTAATGTCTGTTACATTTATCTGCCTCTTTCATACAAAGTAGATGAAGCGTGTGGCGAGTATAAACTAAAAAATGTCATCTTTTTTCAACAGTTTCCGCGTTCGCCAATCAACACAATGGATGTTGACTTTCAGGTGTATATGTAAGCATAGCCTCTTTTTCATTTCACTAACTCTCCAATTCAGGTATTTCTATTATCTATATCTATTACTAAAAACTCTTACCCTTGCACACGTCACTTGGCAATTTCTTCTTTTTTTAAAATTTCTTAAAAAAAATCTTTGTAATATTCAATGACACCCTTTCTTCAACTTCCAAGATCATTAATCTATATCTATTACTAAAAACTTTTACCCTTGCACACGTCACTTGGCTATTTCTTCTTTTTTTAAAATTTCTTAAAAAAAAACTCTTTTTAATATTCAATGACACCCTTTCTTCAACTTCCAAGATCATTAATAAATATCTATTACTAAAAACTCTTACCTTTGCACACGTCACTTGGCAATTTCTTCTTTTTTTAAAAATTCTTAAAAAAATCTTTTTAATATTCAATGACACCCTTTCTTCAACTTCCAAGATCATTAATCTATATCTATTACTAAAAACTCTTACCCTTGCACACGACTCTTGGCAATTTCTTTTTTTTAATTTCTTAAAAAAATTCTTTTTAATATTCAATAACACCCTTTCTTCAACTTCCAAGATCATTAAGCATCCATCGATCTCAGAAATAATCTAGACAACCCCAAATCATCTCTTCATCTCCCTCAATCCTGCCCTCTTTTTGAAATCCCTCAATCTAAGCCTCCTTTTCGATTGAAATCCCCCAAATCTCTTCATCTCCCCTCAATCTAAGCCTCCTTTTCGTTAGGTCTCAACAGAGCCAGAAGCTTCTGCTACGCCGCCGCCAACGGCAACCGAGGCCCCGAAAGATGTGGCAGATGAGAAGGAAGTGATCTCATCTCCGGCGACACCGCTGCCTCTGGCCAAAGAGAAGGCTGATGACTCCAAAGCATTTGCTGTTGTTGAGAGTAAGCAAATTTTTTTCCTCTCCTTCAGTTGAGCAGGTTTTTTCTTTTAATTTAAATTTGTTAATTATAAAGATATTATGTTTAATTTGTTTAATTTTTTTCTTTTCTTCTTAGTTCATGGTAGTTCTTTTTCTCTGCAGTACAGAAATCTCTTGAAGGGAACTCTAGAATTAAGAAGTGTTTGCCTTGGATTTTATGGATTTTTGTCTTTTAGGAGGAAACTTATGTGCATGGAGAATTAATATTTGTAGAATTTTATGAATGCTCGAAATTGATCAGTAAAGTTCTAACAAGCTAAAATTATGTCAATTTCATTTTATGAATACTCAAAATTGATCAGTAACGCTCTGTTCTTGTGGTTCCTAAATAAATTTAACTAATTTTAGCATATTTGTCTGAGATAATGTTTTACTTTGTTTATAGCTAGCAATTTCTGTTATATTCCTTGCAGATCTATGTACTTTGTTAGGTATTGAATAAAGAAATATATTTAATTTTTACTTATTCATCTTTATCCGGTGCCGATTAGATTTTGCTCTCAGAGAATGTTCTCTGTTGGGTATCATGCTTTTTTTGTACTCTTTTTGTGTCGGCAGAGGAAAATTTTCACTGTTATAAACTTTAGTTATTGTTCTTATTTTACAAAAATAGATAGATACAACTATCTGGCCCTAGCTTTGCTTCTTCTATACGATTTTAAGTAGATATGATCTTCTCAATGGTGGGAATAATCTGTCATGCTTTGTATTATACTTTATATTAGTACTCTTTGAGTTTTTTTTCATTTTTAGCTTGCTTTCTGATGGAATTATGCAAAGCCTTTTTCTACCACTAATTATGATAAGCTTAGAGGAACTCAAGAACTAATAAAGTGCCATTTAGCGACACAAATAAATAATTATTACTCCAATATTATGCATACCCCTATCTTAACCAAGTTGTTGGAGGATGCCCAAACATTCGGTTAATTATTACTCCAATATTATGCATACCCCTATCTTAACCAAGTTGTTGGAGGATGCCCAAACATTCGGTTTATATCTTGAATATGACATTCTTTCATATAAGTTACTCATAAGCCACTTGACAATATTAGGTTAGAAATATATTTGTATTACATACTCCATCAAACCACCTACTATTTTGGTTGGCAATTTTAGTCCTTCTTCTTATCTGTCTTTACTACTACTGGTTTCAATAAGCTCAGTTTGATGATGATGGCTTTTCATGGAGCAAAACTTTGTTGTCTTGTGTAGAAAAGCGGATTGATAATTTGATACTTGAGATGATTCTTTTGTTGTCTTTTTAAAATTTCCACATAGTATCAGTAGTATCTTGGTGCACGCAACGCACACTTGACTAGAAAATGGGTTATTTGTTAGTGTTTTCTTTTCTTTTTTCGTTTGGGGTTATTCCAAATGTGTGGGCATTGGTTTGAGTTTTCCAATTGTGAGAACATTTCCTTTGGTTTTCCAAGTGTGAGCCTATTTTTGTGTTATTATTTCCAAGTGTGAGGTGTTTTGAGTTTTAACGTCTATCAAGTTTAATGTACTCTTTCTGTGACTTGCTTAAAAAAATTTAGATTCTAATTATTGCTGAAATTAGGT